TGAAAACAAACAGTGCAGTCAGTGGTCAAGAGTCTTGTGTCAGGATAAAATCCAGATCTGACCTTGTAGATCTACACACAAATTCACCACAGCAATCTGTTTTTTCAGGCTACGCAAACATCAGTGTAAGCTCTATTGCACAGAGTGTAAGTGATGCTCCTCAAGCTGTTTAATAGCTGCCAAGAACGTTGGAAGGATCACTTAGGCACTTCAGCATTTACAATTAACAGTTAGCAGTAACTGTGACCTGACATCTATCTGTGAGTTAACAAAGAAACAGAGTCTAGATCAGGGGTCGGCAACCTTCAACACTCAAAGAGCCATTTGGACCCATTTCCCACAGGAAAGAAAACACTGGGAACCACAAAACCCTTCTGACATCTTAAATGAAGATAACACTGCATATATTGTTTTAACCTGTATGCTATGTATAAAAAACGATAGTGTGTTGCATTTATGAAATCAATGAACTGCTACTAAGGAAACAAATGCTTATTTCTGCATGCAACAAAAACATTTTAAACTCCAAAAAATAAAAAAAGACGGTGGGTTGAAGGTTACTTTCAAATAAAATACTCAACGTCTATTTGAGTCCTCCTTGTATTTATGAAATAAAAAAATTATCTTAAAAACTTAAATTATCCACCTGAGGTACCCTACCAAAGGGATCAATAAAGTTCTATCTAATCTAAGTTCTATCTAATCTAAACTGAGGTCTGGTTGTCCTTCTGACTGCAGCTGGGACTACTGCTCCAGACCGCTGACCGCTTGTGAGCGTTTTGGGACGGGGAACAGCTCACGGCACCACCACTGCTCGGTGAGGACAGTAACTGCAGAACGGTACATGTTTTCACGTCAGAGTTCCAAAACACCAGAAAAGTCTCCAGTAACACCAGAAAGAGTCGCTAGATTTGTTGCGAGTCGCTTTTGCCAAAAAAAATAAAAAAATCACCAAGAGGATTTGGAAAGGTGCCAGATTTAGCTGTTGGCAACGCTGCATGTGTTGGCGGGTGTTGCACATTGGTGGTTGTGACGCATATTTTGAGCGACAAAAAAATTAAACACGTTTTATTTTGAATGTTAGAAGTTCACAAACATCTTCAAATTTAGAATTACATTTTAAAAACTAACGAGCTAAAATAAAATACATTTCAATTAAAATACTCAATCTTTATTTTCCAAAACCACAAGGAGCCGCAGCAGAGATATGAAAGAGCCGCATGTGGCTCCGGAGCCACGGGTTGCCGACCCCTGATCTAGATTAACTGAAACCTGGTCCCACATCAGCGATTACTTACGTTTGAAGGGGACAAGGGAATATGTCAAAACCATATAGTACAAAGAATAAGTTCAACTACCAGCGTTCCACAGAGCCGGCCCTAGGCATAGGCAGTATAGGCAAATGCTAAGGGCGCCGACATACACGGGGGGCGCCACAAGCGGAGCAGGGGAAGTGGCAGGAATCCGGAATGCACAGGCAGTATTTGGCTGCAGATTGCAGATTGGCTTATACATTATGAAGAGAGTAAAATAGCGTGGGAAGGAAAGAAGAGGAAGAAAAATGGGAAAAAGACACAGGTACGGTAACGTCAATGCGATGGAATTAATTACATTAAGCAGTTATAACAGAGAAACAGCCCGTTACACTGCTGCCGGAAAAAATTATGCTGCAAATTGGGCCGATACGTTGTTTTCTAGAGTATGTAACAGGAAAATGATCATTTCTCCACATTGATCGTACCCGGCTAACTTACATGTATTCAGGCAAATATTTATCAACAAGCGCCAATGCAGCTTCTCTACCATTAGCAGCAAAGACGTCATGTTAGCGTCTTAGCTGCTAACGTTAGCAGCGAAGACGTTAGCGAATCGTCTTCAATAACGAATAGCAGCGAAGACGATGTGGTTAAATATTTGCCTGAATACACTGCAGTTAGCCAGGGAGTATCACTAAGACACCCCTCGCTACGCTGTCAAACATTTCTGGTGACAACCTTGTTAAGTTAATGGATCAACAAAGAACCTGCACTGATCTCACCTCTTTTGTAAATGTGGGTTGGCAACAAACCAACCTTTGAACTTTTGAGCTCTCCATCTTAAAATGGGACATTATAGCTTCATAGTTAAACTAAGTAACTGACAATGAGTGACAAACAGGTCATTCACATTTTTATTCAACAAGTGAGACCTTTTACATCAAAACTAAAAATCTTCCATTTTATCAAAAATTATTTCAAATAAAATCAGAGCAGCTCTACATCAGATTCCTATGTGGTTCACAGCATAGATATATATAATAAAGGCCTTTATTATATATATCTGTGGTCCACAGCCCCTTGTTTTGTAGATAGTAGAAAATAAATGAACAAGCTATAGAACATTTTTTATATTTGAACAATGCCTTATTTATATTGTATTTTTAATTTAGGTCACTTGTTTCTTCAGTTTTATTTAGTGTGTTGTTTCTACTTAAATAAAAGCTTGACTACATGCATACAGTTTGTGTTCCTGTATGAAAGTTAAGAGTGAAATTCACTGTGATGCTAGGGGGTGCCACCTACAATCTTGCCTAGGGCACCAAATTGGTCAGGGCCGGCCCTGGCGCTCCATAAGCTAAAACAGACATAAAGATAACTTAAGAGTGTACCCAGGCAGTATTTACATGCATCTGGAAGCATCTACTCTGTCAATTCATGCAAATTAGGCACTAGGTTTATGTAGGGTTTTTGTTTTTCTGAGCTACAAGCAAAGAGTATGTTGTTAACGCACCTGAAGCTGTTAGTAGCTGCCAAAAACACCAGAGGAATACTTGTAGTTGATGGCAATAATAATGGGTTAGCTATGTAGCTGATGCAAAATGAAATTCTGGCCCATTTTCAGAGATTCTCACACAAGCTGCTCCCTCGCCTACACAGATCTTTCAATGGTTGAACTGATCGGGAGTCAGATAAACATGACAACAGCTTGTTCCTCCTTCTGTGTGACTGTACGTGTTGGAATCACTGGAGCTGCTTTTTCAAGTCTTTTAAAGAGTAATACAGGGAGAAACACAGCTGATTTCAGCTGAGTTATTCCTCAGACCTCTTACTAGTAGAGAGGAGTAAACGTTGCACATGCCTCTTACACAATTTGTTTTTAACAATCAGCTTTTAAATAGTCTTGGATGCTGCTTGGGCACATTTATATAAAACAGCAAAGTGTCTCAGTAAGGTGGTGGGCCACCACACACTTCCAGAACAGTTTCAGTGGAGCTTGGCATTGATTCTCCAGGTCTGTGAAACTCTACTGGAGGTTTGGAATACCATTCTTACAAAAGATATTCTCTCATTTAGTGTGTTGATGATGGTGATGGAGAGCACTGTCTAACATTACAGTCCACAATCTCCTATGGCCGTGCAACTGGGTTAACATCTGCTGACCCGGAAGGCTATATCATATGAGTCAGCATTTTTATACTTATCAAACCATTCAGTGACCCCTCATGGCCTATGGTTGGAAGTATTGTCATCCTGGAAGCAAGCACTACTATCAGGATAGAAATACTTCATCATTGGATGACACCTCATTTCCACACAGCTCTGTGTTCGTATTCACACAACCAGAACTCTTATCTATTCCTTTTGAGAATCTCTGTGATCTCTGCTGTGTTTGCAAAACTCCTCCTCCTGTTGTTTGTTGTTTTTTTTGGTCCAAAATTTGCCTTTTGAAAATTCTGAATTTTTGTGGTAGGAAATTTGAAAAATGAATTAGCTAACAGACTGTTCAGTTGTTTGTTTACGGTCAAATTGTGTAAATGTGTAGTTAGAAAAAAGGAACTAGTTTAATTAGTTTAATACATGCTAGTTGTGTAACATACAGAGGGCACACATACTGTAGTGGTTCATACGTCCTGCAACATAATTTTTTACCAAACCCAAACCTCCTGACTTATTTCTGTCCAAGTATTTTTGGTTCTGTATTTGTGACAGTTATACTCCATGCACATATTCCATAAAACTAGATGGTAAAAACTGAAAGCCCTGATTACGCTCCCTCGAATGGCTGCTGTGAAGTTTCCACCCATCTGTAATAACATGCATTTCCTCGCACTGAACACCAGGGGAACAATCCATATATCATAAGGATTTGTGGACATGAAGTCAAATCCCTAAACAAGGAGTTAAGGAGATCACTCAGAATAGCATTGCATTGGTTTGCAGTGAGCCCTCCCTCTCAGGGTCAAACCATGTCAAGCATGCCATAGCAGATTCCCTCAATGCAGGGGTTAAAGTTCAGGCCTGTACTGTTCTCTTGGTCTGGGCTGCATAAGCACTCGCCCACTTGTTGAGAACATTTTGAAGGATGACTCATCTAGAGAGAGTTACTCTTCTATTTTTTAATGCACAAGCATCAAATGTGTCGACCACAATTTGGTACCAATATCTTTTCCATAGATCTAAATGCAGATGTCATCATAGTCACTGTTGCCACTGAAGCCAGTTGAGCAGCCTTTGTGACTGAAGCTCCTGCCGTCTGTGCCCCAACAATGAACCTCTCTATCAAAGTCACTTAAATCTTTTCCTTGCTCCATCTTGATGCAAAATTATAATTAACTGGGCCTGCTCAGCATTTCTGAACAGCAGATGCTAATTGTCTAGTTGTATGTTAGAGGGTTCCTGTGTGGCATTCCGTATGTTTCTCTACTTGTTTATTCAGATTTTTCCTAAACTTTATCACCCATTTGTATATGATCTGCCCAACAAGCAGGAACTGTAAACAGGTTATGATGATGAATGAGGTTTTTGTATAACTGTTTCTCCATACACACGCAAAAACTAAAAATTGAGGTTTGGCAGACTATGGGCTAGTAAAATTTTTAAAACTGCATATTCAAATTAAATAAATGGAATATTTTTGCACTTTGAACTTTGGGTAATCTTTAAAAACATCTACCAGCAGCTTCACATCTAAAATATCTCCATCAATTTCTCCCTGTTGAAACTTTTCACAAACCAACCTACCCGAGGCCTCTTCCAGACGACACGTCCAATCCTGTTACCCTGGTAAAAGAGCGAGTCGTCAATGGCAGGGAAGCGGGGGTCCTCGAAGAGCAGGCCACTCTGCAAGCACTGCCTCTTCAGGGTGGAGTACTGCTGCCCCTCGAAGGCCTTCACTGAAGTGAACATACTGCAGCCCTGAAGGACACAGCCAGACGACAAGGAGGCACACCAGTCAGACCAGAGCTGTACGACACACATCCTCCATGTACACCAGTTTGAATCACATCACATTGTCCTGCTCTTCTATTATTTATTTCAAAAAGTAGCTTCTCCTGGCATTTTTGAAACCAATTTTCCTTCCTGCACATCTGCTCTTGCACTCGCACACATCCAGCAGACTTTAATACCTTTACAGAGAAAGCTCTCAGTGGAAACAGAAAGTCGATGTGCCCTGCCACCTCGAGCGCAGCCTGGATTCACTGGGTCAAAATGATTAATCTGTCAATTCACTGATATCCTCCAGGGCCTAATTATCACTGATATGCATTGAAGGAGCCATGCACACATTGATCAGCTCAGGGCATGCAGAGAGACTGGTGAGTCAGGGCGGAGGCAAACTAAGACGAAGCTATTGAAGGTATAATCAATACTGAGACACTGGATAAATGACAAACCTTTATACCTTTACACTTGCAATTTATTTTTTGCCAAGTGCTTCTCCGGTATTCATGACATTTAATGCTATGACCAATTACAGCAATCTATACCACTAAGCCAATGTAAATTTTCTTCGTGTCATTCAGTTTTAAGCTTAATCATAATACATTTTTTGGCCACTTAAACTAAAAACAAGTTAAACTTCAGCTTACTTTGACAAAGTATTGCTGTATGGTTGTATTTTGGTTAACATCTCTGAATCCAGCACACATGAAACAACATCTGAACCTTGACAAACTGTTTATGTTTTATTTAAAAAAAATGTAAAATAAAAATGGTCATTATTTCCGTCAGTAGAAAGACATGATTGTCCATTCACACCACAATTAACAACAAGTCCTTATATTTATATATAAGAGCCGAGCAAAAAGAAAACCTGGATATGTGCAGAGTCAATATGTTTTTCAGATGTGCAAAATTATTCATGCCTGAACTTTCATGGTCATCAGTTTGCGTATTTCCTTTTCTACAGGTGTCACTTCATAATCAATACGTCTGCCAGCAGAACTATTGACGTGTTACCAGAGATTTATTGCAGGAAGTCAAAGTCTTTCAGGTCACTGAGTGCTTCAACAACATTTCAAACACGGTTATACTGATTAAATGTCTACTTCAGGTTTCTTGGTGGAGTTGGAAGATGTGACATTTATTATTATAATTTTTGGTCTATTTATTTATACATTTAGTATGTATTATCTGTCTTAACGCTTTATGAACTTTATAAGGTTTACATAACTGCTTGTGAAGGGGTTGTTATTAATCATTTTTAGTGTTTAAAGCACTTTTTGTTATATTGTATTATTATGCAAAGTACCGTGTGAATAAGAAAGATATTAATATCGTGTGATGACAAAAAAGTAATGTTTATTGTCAATTAATCTTCTAATTATCTGCTCTATTCATGTGTTTGAGCTGTAAGACAGCAAAAATGTCTTACATTTTCTGATTATATTCTGTTTGTCCTCTGGACTTGGCAAATGAAGCATCTTTCATTGCAGGTGTCCAAAGCCTGCAAGTTTTATCTCATTTTAATACATTTTCTGAATCTTAGAGAGGTGAAACTATTTGATATTTAACACAACAAGCAAAGTCTAGTGCTAAAATTTAAATTTCTGTATCGAATCATTGTTTTTTTCTTTTTGTTCCTGCCAAATTGATCCATTGAATCAATGAAAGGGTCTCAACCAGCCAGTCTGGGAATCACTGACATAAGAGTTGAAAAATCCTCAAAGAAAATCTGCATGATTGAGAGGCTGGAACTGAAGATTCTTTTGAAACAGAAAAACAACTTTCAAGTATTTTCATCATAAAATATAATTTGTCCATGCAAGAACTCTGAACAACTCCTCAACATAAGTATTCAAAATTTATTAAACTAATTTTAGAAAAGCTACAAGAATAAAATAGTAACATTAGCTAACACCAAATCACACTTTCAACACTTCTCACACTAGAGTCATATTAGAATTTCCACCCACCCATCCATCTTCTCCCGCTTATCCGGAGTCGGGTCGCGGAGGCAGCAGCCTTAGTAAAGCCGCCCAGACTTCCCGATCCGCACACACCTCCCCCAGCTCTTCCGGGGGGACCCCTAGGCGTTCCCAGGCCAGCTGGAAGACATAGTCCCTCCAGCATGTCCTGGGTGTTCCCCGAGGTCTCCTCCCGGTGGGACGCGCCCGGAACACCTCCCCAGGGAGGCGTCCAGGAGACATCTGGAAAAGATGCCCGAGCCACCTCAACTGGCTCCTTTCGATGTGGAGGAGCAGCGGCTCTACTCCGAGCTCCTCCC